GGGAATGAGATATGATGTAGAAAATTGCCCTTGCAGTCCTTGAAGCCAATAATTTAGCTCTGCAACCTTAATTTATAAAGGAAAAGGGATGGTAGCTGGAACATGAATTTGGATCACTGTCAGATTCAGGAATGAAAGTAATTAATGCTTCTGTGAAACTCCCTTGATAGTTATTTTTGGATTCAAAAATCTTTAAAGAAAAGTTTTAATTTAGGGGCAGAAGCTCATTATACTCTCAAAAGAATCCTGCTGTACTAAATCATTCGGCTTTCAATTCATGGCCCCACATCCCCTCTTTACATACAGCTCCTTCACTGATAAAGCCACAAATTATTTCCCACATTAACTACTGAAACTTCTGATTTGCTCTCACTTTGAGTCACTCTGTGTTCAGGCCACTGGCTCTCATATTCAGAGCCTTTGCTCCTATCAAGTAATGATGGCGACCGAAGACTTCGTTTCCAACTTTCTTATTTTCTGCCAGCTTTCACACCTTCACATTTCCTTACAAGTTCTCCAGAGCAACTAACTGCTACTGGACCTGCCTAACAGCACTCCTCGACTAGCCAAACCCTCATCAACCGTTGTTTCCCCACTGTAGTGCCTCCAAGACACTACAAAGGTGTTAAAAAAAAACAAACACTGAGGTGATGCGATTATATGAAATGTCTAAATAACTAAAATGAAGGAAAACAGACACCTTGGGAGAGGTGGGTGGGACGACGGAAACTTCAGTGATTTTCAAGCTGAGATTTTATTTTAATTTTATTTTAATGATCTTTAGCATACTTTGTAAGCTCCAGATGGTACCAACCAGGCAGAAATTAATTTTTAATGCTACTTCACATTCCTGAATCTTACAGCTTTTGTTCTTCTGTGAGATTTCTCATTTACAGCTATAGTTCCAGGAATCAGCACAGTGTCTGCTAAAGCCAATGGACAGGATCCTGCTGGCTACAACGGACAATGAAACAGGTGCTCAGGCAACAAAATAAAGCACCTAGTTTTTAAATATTTCATTTATTCACCTTTATACAAAATTCATCTCTCATATTCAGTTATTTATGTTCTCTAATGTAATTATGATGTAGGGCTGCAAACAAAACCCACAGGTTTTGGAGATGAAAAGCAACCAGCAGGGCTCCATCACTTCCAGTAGCTTGGAGGGCTATTTTCAGACTCTCAATCAAACCCACAGCTCACACAGGGTTAACTAAATTTCTGAAAGCTTCCAAAAATGCGCCATAAATGCTGCAGCCTTACCTGTGGTTTTAAACCAAAAGGACTACGCAAGCAAGCTGAGCCTCCACAGGGTTGTGCACTTAAGTTATAATGATTACGCTGATGTTTGTGATTAATTGTTCTTGGTTATTTGCAATTTGAGGAAGAATGATGAAAGGAAAAAATCATATACTCCCCAACTTCAGCATTCTCTTCTGAATTAGAAGTGAGTCAGTATTTGCTAAAAAGTACGGCTGCACCATTCCATTGGTTAGCCCCTGAAGAGTGTATTATTTGAAAAAAAATTTGAGATTGGGGTTTTGATACATTGCTCTCTTAAAGAACACCACTAAGCATTCCATTCTTTTTTTGGGGGGAGGAGGGGGGAAGGGAGGCTGGTGGGGGTGGAAAAATAAGATTTTGTTCTCCCTTTTTAATAGGCTGTTATAACCTTTAACATGCCATGAAATTAAATGCTTCCATTGGGGATCCATAACTTACAGTAACAATAGTATTTCTAGCACTTGTTGGAACTGAGGAAAGTTACTATAATAACGAGTGTAATATTTTAAAGGTCTACAGAATTGTCACTATGCATTACTGAGTTCCCATAGTTAACCCATGAATTAAAAGCCTATGAAAGTGATAATAGCCGAAATTCTAAAGAAGCGATTGGCACTTGGCAAAATTATCATTTTGCTGGAATTAACCTGTGATCTGCTGGGAAGTATAAAAAGAAAGTACTTGGAAGCACATTAATCTCACAAGTGACACTGTTAGAAGCAGGAGTTTGGGCTGGGACCTCCTGAGATCTCTTCCAACCAGAATTACCCTGTGGTTCTAATCATGGCTACTAATTCTTGCTAGGTACATGTACTGTTACATTAAATAGCAAGCATATAATAGTTACATTAAGTAGCAAGAACAGATCAATTTCTTCCTACTGGCATAAAAATCACAAAACATTCAGTTAAAAATAAAAACTTGAAGGCCAGACTTAGTCAGACGGTAATAGCATTCTTGTAATGGTGACTGAAATGTGCACCCATTCCTTGCTTTGGGGAGATGAACATGGCCTGATTTACACAGGAGTTAAGCATTTGCAGTTCTCTGACATTTCTTTACTTTCAAAAGTAGCGGGCAGTTACTCAACCAAGCAATCAGCATCGTCCAGGACTGAGACCATGATTCAGGAAAACTTTTTTTTTTTTTTTTAAGAATACTCAAGCAGACAGAGCTTGTGAGTGCTTTCCCTGGATCCAAAGCCTTGCTCAACATTCCATCTTCCAATTCTTCAATGAAAAAATGCTTAATGTGAACCTCTTCTAATCTTTTATCAAGCTGATTTACTGAGTCCCACCAACTCCTCCTTGAGTTCTGTTCAATACTGTATTTTTCTTTAGTCTGCCAGTTCTTAAAGGACAATCTGTTACTTCTTATCTTTCTACAGCTTTCTAGTTTCTAGTATTGCAGCCACTTCAAACTGCTTGTTTTTACCATACAAGAGAAAGAAAGATGCCTACGTCTTCAAAGAACAATGCAGACATTACAAAAAAAAAAAAATCCAACAACCCAGACAACGCAAAAAACACGATGAGATTCTCAACAATGAAAATTTTGACAGACTTCAGTATTGCCAAATTGAAAATTTCAGTTAAATCACTTGTGGAGATGAGATTACTTAGAAAAAGCAAAATCATGTACAGTGATTATTTATTGAGGTAGATTCTGACAGGGAATACAACCACCATATACATACTTCCATCAACCCTTAACTATCCTGCAGGGATGAGGATTTATTTTGACACAGATTTCAGAATACAAAGGAATAATTGAGGGTAGCCATGAGAGAAGCCAAAATTTTCTTTAAAAGTCTGGAGAAAAATCTTTTGTTACTGCAGGAGAAACTGAATGCTCATTAGCTAACATTGCTGAAGAGCTATCAACACTCCTGGAAAGAAATATTGGTTTTCTTGACCTAAAATACACAGCTAGGTTCAAAGGAGTTCTTCTGTAGTGCTGAAACTAGAATCATAACTGAATCCGAGCCTAGTCCTCCTGCCCATCAGGATTAACAATAGCTGGTATTACCCAGCCTGGGTCCTCTGACTTACTGGTGTCCTCAACCCGCAGCAAGGTCTTTCTGCTGCTACAGGAGAGCCCACCTGGTTTTCACAGGCAATGCTTATGCCACATGATTCAAATGATTACAGACACGTGCTTGTGGAGCTAGCAGAGTTTTTTGAGAATCTGAATTCGGATTTAAATTTCAATACTAAAAAGCAAAATAAGGTTGGTGATTTGGAGAGAATGTGGGAATTCTGAACGTTCAGACAACTTAAAAACACACTTCCAAGTGAAAGCGGTTTAGGGTACCGTTACGCCTTCCACTGATGACTGAAAAAGTGAAAACACATCTAAAATATTTGGGCAATCAACTGTGTCTGAAATCTTGTTTCCCACTCCAACATTACCCTATCATGATGCCAAACATCATCACTTCAAGTGCGCATAGATACCTGAAGTTTTCAGGCCATCTAACTAACAAATTGCCCAACAGTAAGCATAACAAAGTCATGCACAATAAAATGACAGCCAGTACTTGCCAGTATAAGAAATAAGTAATGTGAAATAGCAAGATACACATAATAGCAACACACACACTTAAATTAAATGACAATATCATTTTCTCGTAATCTTTCTCTAACTCTGCTGGAAGAGCACAGTGTTGACAGGATAATTTTATAAAATTCCTTGACAGTTCATGTTAAACTACCCACCATTCCCTTAGATTGATAATTGGCACTTAGAAATAAAATGAAATGTCTGCGAGACTCATTAAAAACGTCAGATATCTGAGAAAATTCAGTGCAATGGTTGTTACCTAAATCACTGGGTAAGCCAGGTAAAGGGCTGCTTCCTTTTCCAATTCTAAAAAAAAAGTAACGATCTCATATTGTATTTTTAACGCAAAGGAAATGAAGAGGTTACTGTGAAGACAACTTCAAGTCTTCCTGCCATCAGCTGACAGTGGCAACATTTTCAATTAAGTCAGTAAAGTTTACAGTATTTGACTTCAGCTCTGCTTTTCTCATATTTTCTCCTTTTTCAAGAAAGCAGAAAACGGAGAGAAAAAATCTTATTTCTGCAGATATTCCCTTAATAATCTATTGAAAGAGAATCTCAACAAGAAGTCCTACTTGGAAATGTTCAAGTGATCTACTTTGACTGTAGCAGTTATTTCTCTATCTGAAGTCTAAACACACAGAAAAGTAACAAAACTGCACTCTTCAAACTACAGAAACACTTTTCTTTAATGCACTTTGGCATTTGCACGGAGACAGTTTAAATGAAATAAGCAGACCTAAAGCTAAACACCGCCTGAGCACAGAAACATCCGGGACCCTCAAAGAATGATCAGACAACTTTTTTCTGTATCCACAGAAGAGGAGTCTTGTTTTCAATTGATGCTGAACTACACATGAAGGAGCTCATGCAGTAAGCAAGCCTGCTGCAATAGTACAGCAAAATACTGGACAAAATGAGACAAGGTACAGGACCAAGCTATCAGCTCTCTGACATACTCTATCACATTACAATCACTTACTGTAATAAGAAGCAGTGGCTCAATCACAGACATAAAAACTAGCAAAAACTCTAACTTCCTTAGTTTACAGATGAAGTGACAGAACTTCATCTCTGCTCTACTACATCCATGAATATCTCAGTTTCTCTTGCTCTCAGATGATAAAATGAATTTCATAAATTAATTATCTTACCTACAAAGGAACTTCTTGTGAATCTTGCTTGCTTCTGTTGATTGAAGTTGAAGTTTATCAAATAATTCAATGATGGATCAGAGATCTGTTGTCAGACCATCCACATTTCAGAAGCTTCATTCTGTGGACCACGTTGTTGGATCTTTGGCATAACTGAGTTAAAATGGCAGTCTGTCCTCTGAAAGTGCAAAAGATAAGAAATGTCTTAATGTAGTTATTTGGCAAAACTGCTTAACTAGTCTAATGAAGCAGAAGAGTACACGAAATCTGCTACTAAGATATAAAGTGAATATTTTGAGTTTTAAATATGTATGTGAGATTATATGAACAGACTTTTTAAAATATAGATGAAAGGAAAATAAGTAGGCTTGATATCCATGACAAAGTTATTTCTGTCATAAATTATAGTTAATTTTCCCTCAAGCTTCTCATAGGTAAAGGGGATGGAAGATTGGAGAAATAGACCTCGTAGAACAATGGCCCAGCTTCCAAAGATTTTCTCATTAGAAAAATTACCAGTTCCATTGTTAGGTTCGTGATCCAGTAATCACACATTCACTACTATGTGCAGAGTACTGATGTCTTCTAGGGCTCTGTGAAAATCCTAAAATGTAACATCTGCAAAGAGCACCAAGTATCCTCACACGTAGCTCCTGAGGCATCTGTTTCTTCACCAGACTAGAAAGGCCTCCTTGGAAAAAGGCAATGGAAGGGGCAGCTCCTCAGAAGGTTGGCCAGAAGCAGTATACCGTCTATTTTAAGGTGTTCTAGGTGCAAGCAAAACTACAGAGCATATTACCTCCATATTTCAGCCCTGGCCTTATGGAACAGCTTTAGCTCTATGAATAATCCCATTTCAATATTACAAGGTTGAGTTTCTGAAGGTTGGTTATAAATTATACCTATAAATAATTTCTCAAGTTACTGTTGGTAAATTCCTTCTGTGAGGAATTCCACTCCCTCTTCTCTGCTATTAAACAACAAATCCAAAACATTTAATGATGGCTCTTTGAGTTTGTATCCATTCTGTGCTTTTTCCATTGAAATTCCTTACACACTAACTGCAGCAGAATTCACACAGATCAAGTGAACCATTAAGCTGTTGTTCTGGATATATATATATATATATATTTTGTTAGAAGCACACTTCGAGGCATCAAGGACTCAAAGCAAAAGAGAAACAAAAATGGGAGTAGGTCAAAAATTTGTTATATGCTTCCTTGTCACTGTGTAAGAAGAAGGAAAATCTAATAGGTTGCCTACTTAGAGGCTTAATTAAAGCTTATGCTTCCAGAATAAGAACTGCAATTAATGCTCGTGGTTTCCACAGTTCTCAAGACCAAGTTACCAGTTTCTATTGCCGATGAAAATCTCCTGAATGTATTATATAGTAATATTAACGAAATCAGTGAGTTTTAAATAAGAGAGCTTACTCATTTGAGAGGGCAAAGAAAAGGATTCAGTTCCTTTTCCCTTCCTCCTAGGTGCTAACAGCTTACTGTAATCACCCAAGTTCAGGGAAACTGAAACAAAATGCTGCATGCTATCAAGGATGCAAGGAGTTTTCTCTTTTTTTCTTCTTTGACCCTGGTAATAAAGATGCATCTTTATTATTTTCCTTGCTGTAGCCTGAAACAAAATAGCTGATTCTCAGGTGGAAAAATAATTAGAAACATAGGGGGCTGAATGAATTTTGAGATATTGAGGAAAATGTAGTTTGAACTGTCAGGTTTACCTGCTTACCCAGAGGAACTACAAAGCAGCAAAGAAATAAAACCTTCTTAGAACTTAAAGCTTTCATCAGCCTATTCCCTCTGGCTGATTTTTCCCCCAAATCTCTCTCTTCCCAGTGGCTCCTATTAGAAACACAAATAGTTTGCCTCTCTGCTTAGTGACAAATGTCACGTTACTTTAGGATTTTTTTTTTTAATACTATTATAATGTTTCTTTTAACACAAGGATAGAAAGACTACGCAACACGTTTAGACAAATATGCTTTTGTTTTGCAAAGGATTTGCAAAGGAAAACAGAAATACTGGAAGTTCAACTTCAGCCTGTCAGGCCAAAGAGCGCTGCCCTCTCTTTGATGCTTGACCTGCACAGCTACAGTAGCTGCCAACAGGACCAGTGCTCTCTCCCTGTATATGTTTAGAACAGATACGGTATAGTGCAGAGAACGCTTACAGTCTTTCTTGTAATCACTGTGACCAGATCATGAAAAATTAATGGACAGAAATTGATTCCTTACTTTGCAATTAAAAAGATAAGGACAATCGGCATTCAGTACCTCAGCAGGCCCGAATCTTTCATTGATCATCACATTTTCCATTCCCTCAGAAAATACTTTTTCTCTCATCACATAAGTGCTTTTTGGGCAGTAAAACGCGTACAGAGTAAATCTCTTCATATTCTTGCCACAGGAAGTGTTACATTTGCCCAATCACCTTACGCTGCCACCCCACTCCTACAGAAACCAGACCAGCATCAGTAGCGGCTCCAGGTCTTCTAAATGAATTTTTTTTCTAACCTCAAGGCACAAAGCACCAGCTCCGTGCTGATTCAGCTGAGACTCCCATCAGTGAGCAGCAGGGTTGAGCTGGACCAGCTCCAGCTGCAGGCTCTGGACAGCCTCCTCCTGCTTCAAGCTATGGAATGCTGGGGAAGCACACCCCTACAACTGTTGTGCCTGCTCCTTTGTTCTGCTGCCTACGCTCAACAGTCACAGAAACAACCAGCATGACAGAAAGGTGCTATAAGGAAAGGAAAAAGATTTCTCACCCACATCAGAAGATTCCAGGATCACAGAAAAAAGCTTCACCAAGGAGGAATCTCCCACAAAAGATCTCTCCTCAGCCTCAGTCAATCCTTAAATGAGGTCTAAGAGAGGTGCAGCCAGGCTCCACCCCTTCTGGTCACAAAGAATTGCCTTCACCTGTGCTCCCAGCTGACCCGGTCCTTTCCCAGGTGCTCAATCAGTGGTTCAGGCCGGTACTCAGCAGTTCCCATACACCGCCCAACAGAAAAATCAAAAGGGCATGGAAAGTCATCTTCACAACCTAATTTCTGTGGAGAAAAGGAACCCGAAGTGAGAGGCTTGAGCAAGCTGAAGTCTACTGGAAGGATGAGGAGGAAATGTGTCATGGAGTGACTGCAGGAAGCCTTCCTACCAGAAACCCTTGGGAAAGTAATTACAGAGAGATTCGTGTCTTGGCAGATGGAAAAATGGTTTTAACAGGGAAGTTGCAAGTGGACTTCCAGGCGCAATGATAAGCATCAATTTCTTCTCACAGCAGCAGAAGCATAAGAGTACATGACTTTCCCTAGCTATTCACTGCTACATTTAAAAAAAAGATTAGAAGGAGCAGAGAACATGAGAAGCACCAGGGCAAACCAGTAAGCTACTCAGAGCAGAAACTCCACGCTACATGGAGGATAACTAGGGGAAACATGTTTAAGAACAAACTTATTCAAAAGCTATTTAAACAGCCAATCACTGTTAAATTGTGCAGAGGAGGCAATATGCTCTAGAGGGAGTGCAAACCAGAAGAGATTGACTTCTTCAAATTCACAGCTGTGGTGAAGCAATCAAATACTCCAATGCCAGCACTCCCCTCAGAGACAAGACAACCTGGGGCCATATGACCTCAACCTCTGATATGCACAGGGAAAATCTAATGAGAGATTTGCTATAGGAACTGATGTCTTGAAGTGACAAATTACAAGCTTCACTGACCTCTCGTGAAGGGGAAGTTTCAAACTTTCATCAACACAATTGAGCAACTGAGACAGGCACGTGCAAGGAAAGGAAAATTGACTCTACGCAGAGACATTCACAGTTGCTGATAAAACCAACTTTAATTCTGCATTCTTGTTAGTTAGAAGTGAAATGACAGTGAAGGAACACAAAATATAGAAACATGGAAAAACAAGAAGGTGAAATCCTTGGCTGGGTAATTGATTTACTGCCCCCCCAAATCAGCACTGCTTGAGAAGAGATGCTCTGAGGATTTAGTCATTGCTAGGCTCAGTCAGAACCAGGAAGTTCCCAAGCGTTCACAATCAAAATAAATTAAATTAGATTAAACTCTTCCAAGCTTCTAGAACAACCAAAAAGGCTTACTTTGGATTTTGACTACAGGGTAAATCATGGGTACAGTGCAAAACAGAAAGCTTATCTTTCAAAACTTGTATCTCTGTAATTGCCAGAATGTTAACTGTGGGAGATTGCAGTACTGCAAACACGTTAGTTAATATTTCCAAGTGGCAAAGATTTCACCCCAGATTTCCAGCTCCATATCTTATGCACTTAATAGGTTTCACGCTGATTATTAAGCTGAACAATACAGAATATCATGCTGTTGGCAAAAAAACATTATCATTAATAAGATTATATATTTGCCTCTAAGAAGGAAGAAACCACTCTGGGCAATTGATCTATGCTTTCAGAAGACTAATAATGTGAAAAGTGAAGTGATTTGTCCCATCAGCCTTCACTTCCTATTCTAGGAGCAAAAAATAAAATAAAATAAAATAAAATTTCTGCATACTAACAACTGTGCAGAACTTTCAGAAGCTCTTTTGCTAGATCGGAGCCTGATACCTAGGCCAGTCACTTACAGCCCTCGTCTTCAAGCCCGATGATTTGTGGTGTTCCACTTGAGATCCTGGACTCGGGGTCCAGCTTTTCTAAACAAGCTGACTGTGCGTGTGCCAAGAATCAAGCCTCTCTGGAATGCCAAGCTGGGAACCTGAAGGCACAGACACCTGCAGTCACTAGAAAAGCTTAAAAAGTATAAGCATAATTCCCAACACTCACACATTCTCACAAAGCTTGCAAATGAGAATAAATCACACCTCACAGAAAGCCTTAAATGACAGGATTTGGCTCCGCTGCATACAATTCTTCATTGAAATGTTACTTCATGTCACTTTTTATTGCCCTGCATGCATGCCAATGTGTACAAGATTAGTGCTGCTGCCGCAGATGAGGAGATGAACTACCACTGTTCCTAGGCTTGCATCCTTTTAAAAACATCATTGGTAGTATGAAATCCAATTAAAAGCAATCCTTTTTCTTTTTTTTTTTCCCAGAAAAAGGAGACGAAGCAGAACTCAGAAAGTGATGCCAAAGGTAAAAAAAAAAAAAAGACCCAGAAAATGAAGTGCTTTACAGTGCAACATAACAACGAACAAAGCTTCAAAAAAGGAAAATGCTTTGGTAGTAGAACGATTAAAAAGAGCTCACACTAAAATTCAGACACAAAAACTGGAGGCAAAGCAGACTCAGGTGTTCTCAATCTACTCCCAAACAGACCAACAGCATTAACAATCAATACTCTTTAGGTGTGTTAAAGCTTCACCTTCTAGCTAAGAGAAATTCAATGGTTGCTTCTATATTTATAAGTGGAATTTTGACAGCAGAGCAGATACATCTTCATCAGTGCTTTGTGTCTGCCTGCCCCCTCACTTCAGTTCTTATTGTCATTTTGCAATATATTAATGATCCAAATCATCGAGTGATTCCAGTTAGGCTGCAAGAGCTTCTGTGAAGTAGGCAGCACTCCTCATAATGATAGATTGCAGGAATAATGGCCTCTTTACTGAAAACGAAACATCAGGAAACTGGCTTAGAAATGTCAAAAAAGGAGGGGCTGAAGATCACAAGCAAGTGCCTTATTAGGAAAGATAGAAACAAATATTCAACAGGGCAGCGTTATTTTGAATCCACTTCTTCAAGGCTGCCTATGTGTCAGACAGCGCTCATTCAGGCATCAAGCATCAGATGATGTTAGGACAGTCATCTCTCCACAATGACCCAGACCTGACCAGCCCCCTGTCTTTCTCTGTAGCACTGAGGCTGTAATGAAGCAAGTACTTTCAGCTGGAAGGTGCTGATGTCAAGCCCATAGCAGCTGGGGAAGGGCTGGAGAAGCCCTACCATTATGACCATTGCACAGATGGAAGTACTCTGGCGGTACTTTCATATGGTGGATTTTCCCAGAAGATGCCACTGCTATTCCACGATTCCAAACAGTGAAGCTGCCACAGTGGTGGGCTGTGGTGCCTTGGAGCCAAACTGGAGCTGAATGGAGCTGGCACGCACACCTCTCGTGCTCCTGACTCACAGACTGCATACACATCACTGAAAGAAGGCAAGAAATTGCAAAAAATGCTGGGGTGTGGTCGTGCCTGGCTCTGTTCCTACACGAATGCTCAAGTAAGCTAATAAAGGTGGCTGTTCACATATTTGAGGGAGTTCTGCAGGTTCAGAAGGGTCAGCAACCCTCCTAAGTTTGGCACATCGAGGCCAGTCTGAAACTCGCAGAGTTAAATATAAATAGCTTCATGCACAGGCCAATTAAAGCAAACAGCTTTTCTCCCCTCCTCTCCCATTCGCCTTCCATTTTATCTCTTTGGACTGACTGCAGAACTAGCTGAAACGTATCCCTTTGAACTGCCCTGTGAAACCCTCTAATTAGCTTTCGGCTCCTCTGATTAGTAAATGCAATCCAGTGGCTATGATTATATTTCCAGGTGCTCTACAAATTTTCTGACGATAAACTAGGCAGACAAAATCCATGAATACACAGACAACCTGTAAAGTCTAATGCTTCCATGAATTAGTCTATCTGAATAAGAAAAATGCCATTAATGCGGATAAGCCCCTTCAACTCTCCCCATTAATAGCTGGTCTTAATTCACAGGTGCCTTTTTAATCTCTGCTGAATTCCTCCAGAATCTAATGAACGCATGTAATAATAATAGCAACTAAGAATTTAATCCCGATTCTCAACTTTCTTAAATTAGACCTTTGTCATTAAGAGATTACAGGATAGTGAATGATAGTTAATCAATGTTTTTAATTTGACCCCATTATTTATTTGATACAGTTTCTCACATGGCGGCTATAAATCTTCCCCCCTAACCAAGCTTGGCCACTAGAAGCAATGATGAAATACTGAGCGAAAAAAATACTAGATTTGATGATCCTATTAAGTGCAGTTAAAGTATAATTAATCTCTCTCTGCATGTGAACAAACCTTTCCAACCAATACATATATGCACATATGTAATTCATACATAGCCAGACACTTCATGTAAGATTTATTGTGCTTCATTTTTTGTCTCTGTTAACTCTTAGCACTATCAGTCAAGATTTCCCAGCACTTACCACAGCATTAGCCCTAAGCATCGAGAAATCACATTTCTTGGTGCCAAGGCTTTAAAAAGATTCTAATTCAGCTATTAAACTGGAGGCAGCATGTGCCAGCCCCACAGCACATTCACCCATTAATTCTGTCCCCTGGAAAAATGACTGCCTCTTGCACCAGCCTGATAAAATGAGGAAACGTGCCGATTATGTCTGTGGCAGCTATCCTTGACCCAACCAACAGTGACAGTCATCAAGCCGCAGTACCTAGAGCGCTGCAAGCTGTGTGAGCTAACCCAAGACATCATTAATTCTAAACACCAGAGCTTTCGTCCAGATACTGGAGTTCAGAGAAGCTTAAAAACAAATCCCTTTGGTGGGATGAAATTCTGTGTGCTGTTCATATTAACTTTACAGACAGTATTTGGAACTTATTTCTTCAGCTGGACAGGTCAAATAAGAGAAATCAAAGCACCAGTGTCCTTCCCTGGATTGCTCAGAACTGGACCTCAGGATCAGTTAATAATGTTGCACAGGCAGAAGTCGAACTGACGGAGAGTCAGGCTGGTTTTTATTTTATTTTTAACACAACAGAGCGGAGGGGACAAAGCAGCTGTGAATGCCATAGACTGAGTGATTTCTCCAGCCAGGATCTGAAAGCACGCACATGTTCAATAGGGGAAAATTTCACAAAAACGGCATTTCATCAGAAAAAACTAACATGGTAATAAAAGCCCTTACAACCTAATCCTACCAAGTCTTTAGGAAG